AAGAAAACAAACAAACATCAGCCTTTGAATGCTTTCACGCCCAAGGTCATTTCTGTCACCCACATGGCCTGCGGGACCCCAGAGAAACATAAAACCAGCCAGCAGCCCTTTGATCTCACACCTTCTATGGAACGTTTTAATCAATTAACCATGAAGTCCCTCCACTTCACTTATGCAGGCCTATGTATAAAATGACTTTGGTCTGGCTGACACTTCACTGCATCTGAGATCAAAGATTGAAGCAAATACCAGATTCAGCCAGGATGATTCTGAGGCTTTTCCCCAGCATGCTCCTCCCCCAGCTCTTAGAAGCACTTTTCTCTCAAGGACAGAAAGGGGAGATTTGAGATGCTGATGGACACAAAAAAAGTTGCACTAGGCTTTAAGGAGCCCATCAGGATGAAAGGTGAGGGGGTGGCCACTGAAGGATGCCAGAAGGATGCCAGAATACAACAGAGTCCATTTTAGAAGTTAAAACGTGGGTGAGAGAAAGCAAAAAGAAATATGTTTTCTGAAGGAATTTTGAGAGTGGCCTCCTGTTTAGGAAATCAGGACAGCGCTGGGAGATTAATTAGATCTATGGGAGCCAGCACTGAATCTCCCAGGCCCAGGCTTGCGGTCTAACCTAATCACCTGCTAGTAATGATATACGAGGCTGTCATTCTTAGGAATAAAACTTCTTCCCAGGCATGTGTGCGTTGGTGAGTGTATGGGGGGATAAACAGTGGTTCCCACCACTTGGCCATGAAGGAAGAGCTGAAAATGATCATTTGTGGGGAACCTACTGTGTCCTGGGCCAGTGCTAGGAAGTTTACATATTATCTCCATTTTCATCATCACAATAACCCCAGGAAGGCACACTATATTATCAACATTCTCAGAGGATGAGCCCAAACCTCATAGTGGTTCAAAAGCTTGCTTGTGGTCAGCTGACTCCAAAACCCAAGTTCTTTAATAGTACCTACTTGTCATCGCTCACTTGTGTAATTTTTCACCCATGGACTTCATTGTGTAAAAGATTAGCTCCACTCTCCACTCCCAAATTATTTATTTTCCCGACTTCAAATACAGACATCTATGTAACTGCTGATCATAGCTTTTGGTCAGCATGAGATAACTGGTGTCAGGACACTGAGCTCATAAATTCCCAATCAAAAGGGAATAAAGTGCAGACTCATTGCTGGGAAATAAATTATACTGTCCTGAAGGACTGAGAATAATCATAACTCTTTATTAAGCACCTTTTATGTGCCAGTCATGGTACTGGGTATCTTATTTATCTTATCATTAATCTTTCCCAGGTTTTGTGATAAAGACATTTTTATCCCCATTCTGCAGATTCAAAACAAAAGACTCATCGTCTGTCTTCCTCAGCTAGTAACGTAGATTTGAATCTCAAGTCCCTTTCGCACAAGTTCTGGATCTTTATTAATTACTTTGCTAGAATGTTGGTGCTTGAGAATCCAGACTGGGAAGACTTTGATGTAGGAAATACTATTTGAGCATTAAGTAAAAAGCCATATTCTTAAAAGGGGCTTCCAAAATTTGTCAGATAAAGAGACTTCACTGAATAATGTGGTCTTGACCTGGATGTGAATGCCCAGTGGATTTCCAACTTGGGTGTCTCCAGTGAAGCCAGCAGCAACACACTTAATAGACTGTTAAGTTCCTTATTTCATACTGAAAGTATTTCCTAACGCTGGCCCCCATAGAAAAAGACAATGGGCTACTTAGAAGGTTTTAAGGATAATCAGCTGTAAATACTGTCAAACTAGGCAAAAGAAAAATTATAAAAGAGCAAAGTAAAACAGGCTTTCAGTCCAATTCTGAGAAGAGGCAAGAAGCTGAACACACACACAGAGTCCAAGTGGGCAGAGTTGAGCCACCAGAATCATGTGAACAGAGTGGAAAGTTTGGGATGAGGTTTAGAAAGGAAACGAGCATGTCTGTGTGGCTTGGGAACCATGGTCCAGAGAGCTGGAGGGAGGAAGACTACCCTCTGCACCACTTCATCATTGACAGCACATGTGGTCGGGAACAGGATTGGAAGGACTGAATGGACTGGAAGAAGACGTCTGTGTGGTCAAAGGGAGAGCTCGGTTGACCGTGAACTCTGAAAAACAGGAGGGTGGTTTAGGGTCATGATTCTACAAGAAACCAGTGAGCAGAAGTGATTCCAATGTAGTAACCAAAGCGCTGGATAAGGATGCTCTCACATGTTCTGTTGGGTATGGAATCTCCCTATAAGTAGCTCTCTCCAAAAAGAAAAATCCATTTTCAGCAGAAACACTGTACGAAGGGAATGAGAGAAAATCACTGATAATAATAGCTAATATTTACTGAAAGTTGAATAAGTGCTTATTTTAAGTACTCCATTTAGTGCAAGTCATTTTACTCTTACAACAAATCTTTAAGGTAGGTGCTATTCTCACGTGCTAGGGGTCAACTTGAGTTGCCCCCAAGGTCACACAGTGGATGTATGGCAGATGTTGGGTTTGAAAACTAGACACTGGACATCAGAGGTCACCCACCAGCCACCATATTGCAGTGCCTGGCCCTGCATGGTAGATGAGTGGTATATGCAGACTGTTTCTGTTCAATCACATTCTCTCCAATAGATTAGGGAATTTCACTCCAGGGTGAGGGAGGGAATTGAAAATCCTTTGGCATAATGCTTAATTTTTCCTTGGTGTCACTTCTCTAAAACATAAATTTAAGAGATCTTGCTGTTTATCTTGTTTTAGAGATCCTTTATTCAGTTGCTCAGTCATGTCCAAATCTTTGCCACCTCATGAACTATAGCACGTCAAGCTTCCCTGTCCTTCCCTACCTCCTTGAGTTTGTTCAAATTCGTGTCCACTGAGTCAGTGATGCCATCAAACCATCCATCCTCTGTCCCCCGTTCTCCTCCTGCCCTCAGTCTTTCTTAGCATCAGGGTCTTTTCCCACAAGTCAGCTCTTCACATCAGGTGGCCAAAGTATTGGAGCTTCAGCTTTAACATCAGTCCTTCCAATGAATATTCAGAATTGATTTCCTTTAGGACTGACTGATAAGATCTTAAAGATCTTAGCATAGTCCTGATATGATATCATGATTTTGTGATTGCTTTAAGGGAATTGTGTTAGCTAAATCTGACTAAACATTTGCTCTTTCTTGGGCTTCCCTTGTGGCAGAGCTCTTGAGATTCCCTTGGACTGCAAGGAGATCCAGTCAACCCCAAGGACGATTAAGCTGGAGGTCGAGCACCTGAGACAAAACAGTTGCGCCCTTAAGGAGAACCCTCGAGGAGAGTCAAGTAATCAACCAAGAATACCTGCTGTGCATCTAGGGGGCCTCCCAGGTGGCACAGTGGTAAAGAATTCACCTGCCAATGCAGGCGGCGCAGGAGATATGGGTTGCATCCCTGGGTTGGGAAGATCTCCTGGCATAGGAAATGGCATCCCACTCCAGTTCTTGCCTGGATAATCCCACAGACAGAGGAGTCTGGTGATCTACAGTCTGTGGGGTTGCAAAGAGTCAGACAACTGAGCAACTTAGCACACACATACACTGTGCATCAAACACCCAGGTTAAGGCAATAGCCACAACTGATATTAGTAGAGATGCCATGTACTCCATAAGGAAAGCAGAACTGGGATGGCATCTTCTAATAGCTGTAGCTCAGCTGTATTTGTTTGACTTTGGTGACATTTGAACATGAACACTGTAATTTACTCAATTATTGGCATCCTTTCCACTTATCATAGTGCCTCCCAAATTCAAGTGAAACCTAAAATTAAAACTTTACAGACTCTGGTCAGTTAGAGTTCATAACCTTAGCAGCCTGCCTGGCAACTCTCATTAAAAGATGAACTGTGACAAAAGAAATAAATTCAAAACTCATGGATGATCAACTAAAACAGAGGGTTTTTTTTTTAATCATTTTAGTTAAAAAACATTTTGAGCATATTTGGTAAATACAGGTATATTCATTTATTAATTGATTATATACATATAGTACTAATAAAATACATACTTTGTGAAACAAAAGCAGAATTGTTGTTGCTAAGTCACTCAGTCATATCCAAGTCTTTGTGACCCCATGGACTGTAGCCCACCAGACTTTCCTGTCCTTCACCATCTCCTAAAACTTGCTCAAACTCATGTCCATTGAGTTGGTGATGCCATCCAACCATCTCATCCTCTGTCGTCCCCTTCATAGGATGGGTAAAAATAAATGTAGCTGAAACTTGCCATTTTTTCTTCCCTTACCTCTCGGATGGTTTTTGCACACATCCTGTGTGTTAGTAGACCCTTGGGTGAGCAAACAGTAGAGGAACACATAAAGGATATGTTCATTCATCCCTGTGAATCTTTAAAGTTGTTACTGGCTCGAGTTAAATCACTGCTACTGCTGCTGAAGCTTCTGCTGCTAAGTTGCTTCAATCATGTCCGACTCTGTGTGACCCCGTAGACGGCAGCCCACCAGGCTCCCCCGTCCCTGGGATTCTCCAGGCAAGAACACTGGAGTGGGTTGCCATTTCCTTCCCCAATGCATGAAAGTGAAAAGTGAAAAGTGAAAGTGAAGTCGCTCAGTCCTGTCCGATTCTTCGCGACCCCATGGACTGCAGCCCACCAGGCTCCTCCGTCCATGGGATTTTCCAGGCAAGAGTACTGGAGTGGGGTGCCATTGCCCTCTCTGAGTTAAATCATTAGAATACTGCTTATTTGGATTTTATTTCATTGATTCTGATAAAATTTACTGTTTGGGGCTTTTCCCCCCAAAATTTGGTTTTGGAAGTATGTCCCTGAAGGAAGTTATGACAATAAGAGATAGTTTAGAACATCTGTTACTCATTTGAGGTCTTTGGTTGAGAATATGACCCACTTCCTAAACCATTGCCCCTTTCCTAAAATTTCTCTCAAGCTTCAGTGTCAGGAAATTCTGGGTTTCTCCAGACAACTGATTCATGTTCTGCACATGTGATCATGTTTCTCACTGCTTTGGTCACTAGTTTTCTCAGAATTTAATGTGCCAGCTTCTAATTACTATTTTATTCAAAGCTTTAAGACACTCGTATACTAAATATGTTGACTGTCTTTTGTTAGCCAAATGTCATTTCACATTACTGTATTTATTTTATTAGGAAAATCACATCAGAAGAGCCACTATTCATTGAACTTGTATTACATACCAGGCATATTTGGGGGTTGCTTTATGTGCATTTTGTATTTATAACTACTACAGAGTGAAAAATACTATTCTTCTTAGTTTATAGAAGAGGTAAGCCAGATTTATTTGCTCCAAATCTACTGTTCTCTCCACACTTTTGTTGTAGGTGAGGAAACCTACCTCAAGTTCATTTTAGAAACTGAGGCTTACAAACCAACAAATCTATAAACTGAATAACTCCCAAATGTTAAACATATGTGTTCAAGCAGTATCCTGGAATCCAGATGAACCAAAAAATCTCATTTCAAATCTCTCCTCTGACATTCCTAGATCAGCTGCAAGGACAGTTGCCTGATGCTGGGGAAACTGGCTGTTTGTTGCCCAAACTCATTTCTTCTTTTGGAAGAAGCCATGAGTCTTCCTTCCCCAGCCCCCCTGAAGTTAGGTGTGGCCACAACCTGCGATCTAGCCCATGGGATGTCATCAGAAGTGACCGTCAGTGCTTTCAGGAGTAGGCACATCAGACTCCCCGGCAGTGATCACTTCCCTCATTCCAGAAAGATGCAGATTATTGCCATTACCTATGACAGAGCCACAAGGGGGAAGGGGCCTGGGTCCCTGACTTCCCCATGGAGGAGAACTCCTTGCCCAGGAAAAGCATTCTTTTTCATTTTACTTGAATGAGAAATTCTGTTTGGAAAGCTTCTAAGATTTGGAGTTGTTATAGTGGTCAACTTCCTTTTCTATAAATTGGGGTAACAGAACTGTCTGTCATTCAACACAAAGGCTCCTTCCTCCCACTCAAAACAACAGAGAGTTCCTTCAATCTGTCCAGATTCTGAGCAGCCTCCAGAGTTGCCGGCCTGTTATGCACAGAACTTTCCATTACCTAGGGCAGGGCTCTCCAACAAAATATTCTATAATGACAGGAATGTTCTTTATCTTCACTGTCCAATATGGTAGCCATAAGTCACATGTGGTTGTGGAGCACTTGAAATGTGCTTCTGAATATTTAAAATATCTTATAGATTCCCTCATTAACTACTATGATAAATAAAATCTTTGTCATGCATTCATTTTATATTTATATGAAAGATTTGCACTTACCTTTTTGAAAATTATACTGTAACTATAATGCACAGTCTATGATGAATTCATTAAAAACGTTCCTCTTTGGAAACACATGTCACCCTTAAATCTGGACCACTGTAATAAATGCTTACAACATCCTAAGTCAACACAGTCAGCAATGGAGACTTGAATTGAATCCCAAGTACCACATTATCTAATTGAACTGGTACTTGAATAGGAGTGGAGTGATAATTATCATTCTTTTTTTTTCTTTTTAAGGAAAAGACTTCTACACACATATGCAGCATCAATAAAGGGATATAGAAGGAAATAAAAGTGAGATTTCCTTTACTAAAGTTTGGTGAGTGGGGCAGTGTGCTCGAGGCCTGCTTCTTCAGACTCTTTCTCATTCCACCTTCGTCCACTTTGCCACCTTAAAGATTCTAACACCCAATTCCAATATGTGAGTGTGGACAGCGGTGGGAAAGGAGAGAGGGGTTGGGTAGGGGGACCAGAGGGGAGAGTATTCCCCACCACCAAGCAATTCTGCAACCCCAGCTGGGTGTCCCACAATTCCACTCAATTCTGACACTGCCTAGAGACAGCGTAAGACCCTACGTGTGTGTGTGTTCAATGGCTTCAGTCATGTCCAATTCTTTGCGACTCTATGGACTGTAACCCACCAGACTCCTCTGTTCATGGGATTCTCCAGCAAGAATAGTGGAGTGAGCTGCCATTTCCTTCTCCAGGGGCTCTTCCCAACCCAGGGACTGAACCCATGTCTCCTGCATCTCCTGCATTGCAGGCAGATTCTTTACCACTGAGCCACCGGGGGAGCCTCGGACCCCCCTGGGCTGCCCCCAAACCACCCTGCTTCAGATGCCATTTGTCACCTGTGTCATTGATTACATGGCTGTGAATCAGAGGTTCCCATGACCCCCACCTTGGGTTTGATTAATTTGCTAGAATGGCTCACAGAACTCAGGAAAAACCATTAGTTCACCAGATTACTGGCCTACAACAAAGGAAAAAAAAAAAAGAATGCAATCAACAGTCAGATGAAGAGAAGCAAGGGGAAGGTATGGGAAAAGGGCACATGACTTCTCCTAGCTTGTCACTCTCCCATCTCCCACGTTCACTAATCCAGAATCTCTCCAAATAGAGGCAGCATTTTCTTTTTTTTTTTCTTACATTAGGAAGAGCACTGGAAAGATGAAAATGATTGAAGCTGTTGGGAAATTACATAGGATCCTTGCATTCCCATCTATGCTTTTGGTTTCTGTGGGAAACTTCTAGGCTAGGAATGGAAGAGGGCTGGCAAGGGTGTGTTTGAGGTTCTGTGTCTCTGATTTGGGAAAGTATAAGCATCTTAAATATATCACAAAATTAAAGCCGCCACTTAAAGAAAACTTACTTGGGTGCTAGGAACTGTTCTAAGCACTTTAGGTGTTTCAATCAATAATCCCACAATGACCCTGATGGCAGCTGATAACCATTTCTTCAGTTTACAAATGAGGAAACTGAAGTGCAGAGAGCTTGATAAGATCACAATTTCAGCAAGAAGAGGCCTGGGATTTGAACCCTGGCTGGGCAGCTTTTGACCTGCTTCACAATCCCACTAAGGAAACGATCCTTTGATTACATTTCCATTTTATCAAATATGTTGATCTTACAATTGACAAATATTTTGAACACTTATCCCAGAGTGATAAGTATTATTTCTTATACTCTCTTTTTAAATTGAACATATCACAGAGAAGAAAATACTCTCTGCTCTCACAGAACTGCTCTGAACAGGAAAAGGATAAACTTTCAGCTCTAATTAACTAATGCAGTACAACAGGCACTACAATATGAATAGCTGAGAATTATGAGAAATAAGTAATTTTTATTTCTATGACAAACCTAGATAGCATATTAAAAAGCAGAGATATCACTTTGCTGATGCAAGTCCATATAGTCAAAGCTCTGGTTTTTCCAGTAGTCTTGTATGGGTATGACACTTGAACCATAAAGAAAGCTGAGTGCCAAAGAATTGATGCTTTCAAATTGTGGTGTTGGAGAAGACTTGAGAGCCCCTTAGACAGCAAGGAGATCAAACCAATCAACTCGAAAGGAAATCGACCTTGAACATTCATTGGAAGGACTGACGCTGAAGCTCCAATACTTTGCCCACCTGATGCAAAGAGCTGAATCACTGGAAAAGACCTGATGCTGGGAAAGATTGAGGACAAGAGAAGTGGGTGACTGAGGATGAGATGGTTGGGTGGCATCCCTGACTCAATGGACATGAGTTTGAGCAAACTCAGGGAGATAGTGAAGGACAGGGAAGCCCAGCGTGCTGCAATTCATGGAATCACAAAGAATCAGACGTGACTTAGTGACTGAACAATAACAACTGGGTATAAATCTAGGAGTGGGATTGCTAAGTCATATAGAGGTACTATTTTTCATTTTTTTTTAAGGAACTTCAACACTGTTCTCCACAGTGGCTGTATCAGTTTACATTCCCACCAACAGTGCAGGAAGATTTTCTTCTCTCCACATCCCCTCCAACATTTATTGTTTGTAGATTTTTTGACGATGGCTATCCTGACTAAGGGGGCGGGGAGTCTTGATAAACTGGCATAGCAGGATTCTTTGTTAAACCTGAGATCAGCTGGAAAAGACAAGGCTTAGCTAAGAAGAACACTCAGAAGAGCTTGACTGAAGTTTGGTAAAAGGAGTCTTTGTCATGGCTACTACCATGAAGTAAGAACAGCTCCTTAACTCTCCTTGCTTTTCGCTACCTGAGACTTCTCTTCATTTTCCTTCTCCCTTCTCTTGGAAACTAAGTCTGCAATCTGGAGTGATCACTTCCTTGCTATCTGTTCCGTGTGTCCTGGGCTGGTTGAAGGCCAGAGAAAAAAGGATGAGTGGAAGGAAAGTGATGGTTGATGGTGGTCAGGGAGAGGGGAAGGTTAACTAGAAATTTGCTCTTGTGGCATAATTTATTTTCTGAGAAAACACTTCTTAAGTTCTAAACACCAGGGAATTTTCTCTCTAGAGTTGAGAGCTGCCTTCCTGCTCCCAGGATATCTCCTTAGTGAAAATGCAGCATCTGTACAGTGATTCTGTGACCTTTTCCCATGCAAAGTCCTATTGCGTTTGCATGCATCCTTATACAAAGTCATAGCCCAGGAGAGAAAACTGCTCATGTCTTATAGGTCTAGACACTTTGTGTGGGTAATGGTAAAAATCAGTACTCTGGTCTCATTTGGGGACCATTACTGTGACTTTAAAATTCAAGATATATCACTTCCCAGCAGCCTGAGTGTAGACACAAGGTCTTTGGGTGATTAATGATTAGGATCCCTTAAGAGTGAGCTGTGGAGGAGCCAGACAAAATAGAATTAAAATGTTGCATCTTCCCTAACCTTCCCTCAGGTGGCTCTGAAACTCCCTGCATGCTTGTCATTTGTTGTGTCCTCTTAAAAGTCAGTTGCATTTTCAAATATCTGAAAGTTTAGTGAGTATCTCTATGGAAGAAGGTGTTTTTTAATTTCTTTTTCCCAAATGATGATTGTCTTTTGGATGATACTCCATGGGTCTTTGTTTCTCAACAGGAAAATATGGATAAACATACCATTAGAATGCTATAAGAATCAATAAAATTATGTGAACTTCCTAGTGAAGGGCCAAGCATAGAATAGACCCTCCATAAGGTGGACACTGCCATCATTATTATGTGAGAGGAACATTTACTTTGGTTTATCCAGAATCCAGTTCCTATAATTGAATTCAGTTCCAGTAGTTCTTATAACACTTCTAATTTTCTTCCGTCCCACTCTGAGTTTACGTGGTTCAGATCTTGCCGAGAAGATCATGCCTCAGCAAACAATAATAGTAATAGGAACTGATTATTCACGAGAACTTTACCAGGTGCCAGGCATTGTTCTAAGCACTTTCTGTGGGTGGTCTCATTTGCAATCAACAACCACACCATGAAGGAATGCATGATGAAGACAAGGAAAGATGCGGTTACCTAGGACCCCAGAATATTGTGGCTTAAGCAACACAGAAGCTTATTTCCGTCTTCTGTGATAGTCCTGATCAATGGGTCCACACTGGTCGGGTCAGCTCTGGCCTGTGGGCCATTCAGAGACTCAGTTCCTTGCATCTGGGTTTCTCTGTCATTCTCAGGGCACTGTTCTCTTCTGCATGGTCAAAGCTGGATCTCTGCCATATTTGCATTTCAGCTGTCTACATAGGAATGAAGAGCATGGAGAGGATATGCCCAATACCTTAATTCCCAGGTCTGAAGGAGGCTCATATCCTGCCACCATGTTCCATTAGTCAGAACTTAGTCACATGGATAGAGTTAAAACCAAAGGAAGCTGGGAAGTACAGTCTCACTGGGCACAATTCTCTTCTATGGGTCAAGAAAAGAGTCTACTTTAACAGGCACTAGGAATTATAAGCATTAGAGGAAATATAGGTAATACAGGTAAACAGTTATTCACTCAGTTTTATGGGGTGAGACAGGCTTAGAGAGATTAAATCACCACAGGGCATCCTGTGTGTACATCCACAGACAAAACTCTATTGACTGCTCCTGTAGCACTTTCCTGGAATCTCTGGGAAAGATTGCCAGCGACGGATAGAGCTGGATAGCTGGTAGAGTTAAAGTCTCAGAGTGAGACCACTCAATGTGCGGTGCAAGAGTTAGTGGTTCCCCAGTACTTTCTGTCCATCCACAGCACCCTTCTAAGACGCGGTCTATAGTCAGCAGACCTCCCATGCGACTGTCAATTGTCCACAGCAGTCACCTGTGGTGAACACATCCTTAATCTTCCTGTCATTCTTCCTCTCATTCCCCTCTTTCCTTGTATGCTTCATGAGAATACCTCCAAAATAAACTGCTTGCATCGAAATCTTGTCTCAACTTCTGTGTTTGGGCACTGCAAGTAAGCAATTTACATGGTTAGTAAGTGGGAGAGCCAGAATTTGAACCTAGCTTGCTCTGTCCAGACCTGTCCTCTTAACCACATCTCAAAACCAAGTCCTGAGCTGGACACCTGTGTCTGCCTCCTCGTTTTATCTACCGATGGTGGATACAATGCCTGATCCACAGGGGCAGGGAAAGGAAGACAGATGTTTCAGCTTGGAATGTAAGCTTTCCGTGTGACAGGCATGGTGCTGGTCACTTTATTTTATTTGCCATACTTCATTTATTCCTACCCTGTCCCCACAGGCTGTCAACTCATCTAACTATCTTTGGATCTCCAGAAATCAGTGTAGTATTTGGCACAAGTACATGCTCAGCAAATGAATACTGAATGATCACATTGAATGGATTTATTAATTATTTCTATGAAGTAGATGCTATTATTGCTGCAATATTTCAGATATAGAAACTGGTGTTTCAAGAAATGAATAGTATTTTAAGAAAAAACTATAGAGGGGCAAGTGGAGGAGGGAATTGTGATGCTCTTTGAGTATCTCTTGTAACCCTGACTCAGTGCTGAGACCTTCACTTACACTGCTTTAGTCTGGGGCACTAAACATGTGGGGGTTCATCTCATTGCTGCTCATTTTCCTGTTCACTACGTGACCTGGAGATGTGTGTATTCCTGATTGCATTCCCAGGAAGCTGACAATGTATGCATAAGGCTTATGAAAGAGAGCTCTTAGGATCACCACCCATGGAAAGGAGGGGAAGGAAGCAGGTTTGGGCAGAGGCGAGAAGCGCCATTGTGATGGAGCCTTAAGGCATGATTTGGCTAATCCCATGGGGAGCTCTGAGGTTGGGCTGGTCCTTCCTCCAAGTCCTACATTGAAGAGGGGGGACGAAGCATGCATATGCCCTCACCCTCTAGCCACCGCATGTAGAAACACATGCACTCTAAAGAATGTAAAGGAAAACAGCCTTCTCTTAAGTTAGGTAAGATGTAAGTGGTGTGCTAGTTAAGGGCTGTCCAATGACAGAGGGCAGGGTGAGTCCTTTGGTCCTGAAGTGTTTCTGGCAGCTCTGTCATGGTGTCTCCATGAGGTGGACGAGGGCATATTGGTATATCCTGATGACAAGGGTTGGATACACACTTCCATTAAGCTGGAATGTGAAACAAGGACGACCCAAGCCGAGACAAGGAAAAGGAACTTGAAAAAGTAACCTCTTCTTAGGCCAAGGATGTCTTTCCAGACATGATGCTTTCCTTCCTATGAGCTCACTGATCAGTTCCATATCTTATCCTGACCGTCACAACGGAAATTGCTTCCTTGTATGTGGAGACTGTTGTAAAAAGAATATAGGAAAATAAGGGCACACAAAGCTGCAACTATTATTCTCTTCGATTTGATTCCAAGCAGTTTCTTAAGTAACGTAACTTTTACCTTTCTTCCCGTGAGAGGGAAGATTAGATTTCTGGAATCCTGTCAGTCTCCCTCAGCTGATGAACTCATGTGTTGTCTGGTCTCCAAACTGCAGGCTCCCAAAGTTCCTCAAATGTAGGTTCTTTAGTTGGAGCAAAAACTCAGGTGACTAGATATCATGGGATTTTCCTTAATTTCTTCTGACTTTGGAATTAGTAAGTTTATAGGAGAAATTTTGTTCTAGGAAACCACAAGGTGTGTGCGTGTGCGTGTGTGTGTGTGTGTGTGCAGGCCTGTCCCTGCACACTCAGGGCTGAGAGGAGCACCTCTAGGTCTGACTAGGCTGAACTGCCAGGGCCTCTTCCCTCTTTGTACGCTTGGCTTTTGAGTGTGCAGGGCTGTGCTAACAGCTGACTACACCCCCACTCTTCAATCTAAGACTCTCCTTCCTGCTGGTAAAGTCTTGTGTTAATGTTCTAAAATAAGGAAGCATTTAGAAGAAAGGAGAAAAAAAGGAAAATGAGGTAAAATGAAAAGACAGGGACAGGAATTTGCACTTCATGCTCTGAACTGTGAGACCACCATGCTTTTTTTGTGCCAAATAATAAGAGATTTACTTCCTAATCAAATGGAGTATTGTGCACGTCATTCAGAAATGTGTTCCTGCTCATTTCACAGCTCGGAAAAGGAGTTGACAGGCATCAAAAGGGAAGAATTGTAGCTAACGTACGAATAATAGGAATGAAAAAAATCAATGTGGAGATGTAATTGAAAGTAAGAACTGGTGGTCGAGGCAATTGATTCTGCCCATATTGTGAGCAGAAACGAAACAGGATCAAGTCACTGCAAGATCAGGCCACTCACAGATGTGCATCTTTCTCCTTTCTGGGACAATGGGGGCCTTTGAAATTGTGGACAGGGACTTTATCAGAGATGCTTATTCAAAGAGAAGTTTCTCACTAGTTCTTTTCCATGTCTTTTTTTTTTTCCTTTACAGAGAATGTGTTGAGACCCGGAATGAATCCAGGGCTGTGACTTTGCAGCTGATGTAACTGGACCAGGGCATGTTCGATCCTGTCTTTTGTGACTGCCTTAGCCACCAAATTCAACTGGTCCAGGTTGACCCCCTTCATTAAGGCTCACCTGACCAGAAGGATGACCCAAAACTCTTCAGCAGCCCCATAAAACTCATTCCCTCTCTGGGCTCAGTTTTTGAAAGAAAAGTCCTGTAAAAAAGTACTATTTATTTATCTTTACCAAATGACAGATATAAAGAAGATTTCAGTGTGGTTATTGGGGAATTGTTATTCATGGACATTTTTTAAAAAAGCAAAATAACTCCCTTTGAGAAATACTCATTCCTCTGGTGTTGTCTCATGAGGGCATTCACAGACTTTGCCCATCAATTCCAGTAAAATCAATATCGCATTACGGTCAGAGTCAGGAGATCTGGGCCGGGTGACCTTGGGCAAGTCACTTAATCTCTCTGCCACAATCTATATGAACGAACTGAAAATAATTCTAGCCATTTCAGGAACAGAGAGTAAGATTAATGACAGCAAGGATCTTGGAAGATTGTCTCTGTGGCTCTTTCTCCCACGCCCTCATTTTGTGTGTGCTTTTGTTTTTAGGTTTGATTTTCTTTAGAATCCAAATTCAGCCACCCACATATTGATACAAAGACAAAGGTACTTTCAAATGCAAGATGGCAGTGTTTCCACTGGACTGGATTTTGTATCTCTGGATGCAGTCAGCACTTGCAGTGTCCTCTATTTCCCCTTGTGGAAGGACAAGGAAAGAATGGAAAAGTCCGTTTGGAAGAGCACTGTTGCGTAAATATCACTGTCTCCACTCTGTTTCAATAATTTTTTGGCTTCTTGCTCTCAGGAATCCTGTTTCTTTAACTCCACTGAAACCTCCCCACGTTCAACTTGCTCATGTAGGTGATGACATGGATCTAGCTTGGATCTCAGTATTCTCTCTCCAGGGCTGACCCACACCTTCACAAGCTGTGACCTCAGGGGATAAACCAATACTTACCGACACATTTAATGAGTACCCTGGGATCTCACCAATTCTTCCAATTGCCATCCTAACTCACCTCTTCTTTTGCTATCAGACTTATTGAGAGGGAAGCCTAGTACTCATAATTTCCATTCCTTTCCATAGCTATCCATCTATTATCCCATCACTCTGTTAAAACTGCTTTTTCTTCACCTCCATTCTGGGGCAATGTCATTCTAGAAACATGAACATTACTTAGAAAGTTGGGTCTTGTTCTTCAGATCAAGCTCATTCTTTTGTGTATCTAAATTAGCTTACCCATTTTCTTGGCTTCAATGACCAATTCTATATAAAACTCTCATACCTATGCTTTTAGACATCCCAGGCCATGATTTGTTTTAAAATATCTTTTCCTACAATTTTTCACTCTAAGAGCATATATTAAACACTTTTTGAAAGTGAAAGTGTTAGCTGCTCAGTTGTGTCCGACTCTCATTGATATCATGAACTGGGGTCTGTCAGGCTCCTTGGTCCATGGAATTCTCCAGGCAGGAATACTGGCATAGGTTGCCATTCCCTTCTCCAGGGGATCTTCCCTGCCCAGGAATTGAACCCAGGTTTCCTGCATTGCAGGCAGATTCTTCACCATCTGAGCCACCAGGGAAGCCATGTTAAAGGCTTTGTGTGGCCGGTGGGTGGGGGCGGGAGTCATTTTGTGAGAAATCGGAAAGACCACACTAAAGAGTTTGGATTTTATCCTACCGAAGGGGTTGATTAAAGACATTTAATTAAAGATATGTGAACATATTAAGGACATGATTTAGAGGAATGTATTGTTTTCATTCAATGGAGTGGAAGATGGGTTGAGATCAAAAGGCTGGGGCTTCCCAGGTCAGCAGCTCCTATTGGCAAGCTGTTTCTGGTTCTATGTAGTCGTCATGCTTCTGCTAAACCCAGATTCCAATCCCTGTGAAACAAGTTCGCAAGACGTTATGCTTGACTTCCTGTTCTTCCTTGCAAACATACACAATTCATCATGCATGATTAATTCTCCTACTGTAACAATACACTATACGCAGTCTCTTCTATTTCATTTACCATCTCCACCCTTTTTTTAAACTCCTGGCCCTCACATGTTTTTACAGTTTGAAATAGCCTCCTGATCAATTGATTTTAAACTCTGCTACTTATCTAAAGTTCCCATAATTCAGGTCTTGACAAATCATTCTTTTACTCAGTCTTATTAATACTATTCTTGCCACAAGAATTCTGAACTTCTTAGCACTCATCCCCAAATATAGCCTGTATATTTCCACAACCATGCTTTTGCTCAAAGCATTTTGTTTGCTTAATAGTGAATTCCTATGTTGAAATTGTTCTCTGATTTTCTGGATTGATAAAGTACTTCCTTCTTCATCATTTTAAGTATGCAATATTACCATGACTCTTCCTGGCTCAATCCATATATGCAACGGCTTATTTAAAGAGACTATATCTCTCAAGATTCAGCTTAACACTACTGGTCTTCCCTAGTATTTCTTGGACTGCTTTGGTTTCTTTAATGAGAACTGGAACATCTTAATAGAGGAAGAATAATTTTACCTCAGAGATTGGAGGAACAGTCCTCTGGCATCCTGACAAAGTGGCACCCTTAAGGGTATTTTTGCTGGTTTTCCAGTTGACCTCTTTCCTGAATCTCTGGCTTTGATGTCCAGAGCAAAGAATGTGCATGAGTTTCAAAGCATGGATTGGCCAGCAGTTGTTTCATTTACTCCAACCTCATCAGCTTTTGAGGTCATGGAAATTCCTTTGAGATTCCAGAAATATTGCTTTTCAGTGCTATTGTAAGTGTTCATATTTTCTGTGTCTCCAGAGGTATTTCATTTGGAACTACATTAAACATAGCTAACTAGTTGCTATTTTAAAATGGAAATGTACTTCTGTTGGCACTTTAAAAGCTTACTGTAAACAGATGCTCAAAAAAAAATGGACTAGATGAAGTGAGTTAATAAAGTCAGAAAATGGTCACTGTTCTATTGTGCACATGAAATAAATACATGCCTCACTCTGATCACATTAAGTTCTTTTGTCTCCTTGACTACATATGTTTTTTCCTCTCCTCAGGCATATAAACAGACTGCTCTCTTTGCATGGACCCCCACACACTTGACCCTCATATATTTCCATTTGTCTCCATCCTAGATCTGACTTTATTCTCATAACTTGGCTTCAATGTCACTTCATCACAGGCATTCCCTAACCTCCCAATATGTATTTGATTGGATCCCTCTGGTCTAGGTTTATCTAGTACCTTATACTTTCCTTTAGGATGCTTATCACAATTGGAGATTACACATTATTTTACTCATTTGTATAATACCCATTACCCATTTTAACCCCAATTACACCTGTATAGAGCGTATGTGCTAAAATGGCAGAATATGAATAGTGCTCAGTCGTGTCCAATTGTTTGTGACCCCATGGCCTGTATAGCTTGCCAGACTCCTCTGTCCATCGAATTTTCCGGGCAATAATACTGGAGTGTGTTGCCATTTCCTCCTTCAGGGGATCTTCTTGATCCAGGGATTGAACCCACGTCTCCTGCATCCCCTGCACTGGCCAGCGGATTCTTTACCACTGCGCCACCTGGGAAGCTCAAAATGGCAAAAACAAGGTCTATTTCACTTTAGACTATGTATCAAAACTTTAGCATAGCTTATTGCACTTAATAGAAGATAGGAAATAAAGTTATTTTTGAGTACACAAGAGAAGATTAAGAATGAAAATAGCTTATGTATTTTATAAAGCTTTATATGCTTTATATAAAGCTTAATATACTTTTATGAAGACTTTTAAAAGCATGACTTTTGAAATAATAGCCACTATATGAGGCAGATGACATCACAACAGTCAGGATCTTTAAGTCCTGGATCGATTTCCACAAGTCTTTCAATCATTTCCCCAGAAAGAATTGTTGCTGACAAAGCAAGCCATCCAAAAAGAAAATGCTGAGAGCAATTTAAAGCTGGGGTTAGTCTATTATTGCTTAGAAATAATCTCAGAAAATCTGTGGTGAAAACATTCTGAAGATTGAGATAGCTATTATTCAGCAAACACATCTTAAAAGGAACATATGTCAAATCTCCATGGCATATTATCTGAAGGGACCTCCTCACTCATGTGAGACTTAAGTAAACACATTAGGGATGTTTAATTACTTTATCTTTTCAGATTACAAATGTACATTATTCTGTGTAGTAGCCTTGATTCTGAAATAGGCAAAATGGGTTTTAACATATTGAATTCTGTTGGAAATGCTCCAATGTAGTTTCCTATTGAAGAAATCCTATGGTCAAGGCCTTAGAAGTAAGCAGACTTTTATAACATGAATAACTGCCCTTAATTTGTTTCATTTACTAGTAATTATTTGACTACTGAATTTCCTCAAAGAAGAGCTCTTGTAGAAAGCAGTTGCATCATGAGGCAAATAATCCCTTAAGAAACTTGCTGAATCAATCCAACTTCCAACAAACATAATTCTATTTTGTGTCTTTATAAGCAAGAAGGAGAAAGGATAACATTCTGGAAACAACTCATATTTCAACTTTTTTGCTTAAAAAAAACAACAAAAGGAAGTGTATAGTGTAGATTACTTAAACTGACATAATTAGTATAGAGAATAATTGGGCTGTGGAAAGAAGGCACCACGGCTTTAAAGTCCCTTAGTAGAAAGGGTAGCAATTACTGAGCTCCTGCCTCTATCTCTTGAACACAAAGCATGTCTGGTCTGAGAGAGCTGATGGGCTGAAATTCAGTTCCCCCGTTTTTGAGCTGTTTATGCCTGTGGAAACAAGGAGCATAAAAACTCACAGGTTTGTCGTGGGACATGAATGAGATATTTCACATAAAGTCCTATGTATAGCACCTGCCATATAATAAGCCCTTAAAACACAATGACTATTAAGATAACAAATCTTTGCAAAAAGAAGCAACCAAGCAACCAGCAAGAATAAATACTATAAAAGTTTTACAAGGACTATATAATATTTATATAATTAAAATGCAGACATTTTAAAGAATAGTGAATAATTAGACATTTGTGTCTGTGAAAGAGGCAGAGTATGTGTGTGTGTGTGTCTGTGTGTCTGTGTGCGTGTGCTCATCAATGCAAGCTCACATACATGTGATTTTCCTACAGGGGACTTCCCTGGTGGTC